AGGAGGAGGAGGAGGAGGAGGATGAGGAGGAGGAGGAGGAGGAGGAGGCGGAGGAGGAGGAGGAGGAGGAGGAGGAGGAAGAAGTATAATACTATTAATAATACGAAGACTAGTAATATTAATAATAATAATACGAATAATAAGAAGAATAATACGAATACTAATACTAATGCTAAGAAGAATAATATGAATAATAAAACCAATAATGAGAATAAGAAGACTATTAATAATACTAAGAAGAATAATAAGAATATTAAGACTACTTTTAATACGAAGACGAATAATAATAAGACGAATCATAACAATAAGAATAATATTACTAACAAGAAGACGAATACTAATACTAATAAGAAGAATACTAAAATTAAAAGAAGAATAACAATATTAAGAACAATAATATTAATAATAATATTAGTAATAGTAATAGTAGTAATAATAATAACACTACTACTAATGATAAGAAGAAGAAGAAGCATACTAAGCATACTAATAACATTACTAATACTAATATTAAGGAGATTATCAAGAAGACTAATACTAATAATACTACTAATAATAATAGTAATAATAATAATACTAAGAGTAAGAAGAATAATAATAATACTAAGAATAAGAAGAAGAGTACTAATATTAAGAATAAGAAGAATAATACGAATAATAATAATCAGAATAATAATAAGAAGAAGAAGAATAATAAGAATAATAATAATAAGAATAATAATAATAAGAATAATAAGAATAATAATAATAAGAATAATAATAATAATAAGAATAATAAAAAAGAAGATGATGATGATGATGATGATGATGATGATGATGATGATGATGATGATGATGATGATGATGATGATGAGAGGAGGAGGAGGAGGAGGAGGAGGAGGGAGGAGGGGAGGAGGGGAGGAGGGGAGGAGGGGAGGAGGAGGAGGAGGAGAGGGAGGAGGAGGGGAGGAGGAGGAGGGAGGAGGGGGGAGGAGGGAGGAGAGGAGGAGGAGGAGGAGGAGGAGGAGGAGGAGGAAGGAGAGGAGGAGGAGGAGGAGGAGGAGGAGGAGGAGGGAGGAGGAGGGGGAGGAGGAGGAGGGAGGAGGGGAGGAGGAGGAGGAGGAGGAGGAGGGGAGGAGGAGGAGGAGGAGGAGGAGGAGGAGGAGGAGGAGGAGGAGGAAGGAGGAGGAGGAGGAGGATGAGGATGAGGATGAGGAGGAGCAGGAGCCAGGGGGCAGGGGGAGCGCCAGGGGGGCAGGATGGTAGGAGGTCTTCCAAGGGGGGCAGGGGGGTGCCAGGTGGGCCGCGGGGCGCCAGGGGGGGCCCTGGCGTAGCTGCGCGGCAGGTGCTGGAGCGGCTGCGGGCGCTGGCGCTGCCGGCCACTGCCTGCGGTGATGCGGTGCCGCATGTGCCTCGAGCGTGGCGTTGAGGGAGACGATGAGGCTGGAGGGTACCTGTGTGCCGCGCCTTCCTTGCAGCAGGACCTCACGATCGGGAACACCTTCATTGACGTGGGCGGGACGCCTACGAGGCAGCTGAGGCGCAACCTCACGGACGGAGATGTGCCCCCTCCGCCGGCATTTCCGCTACGAGCAGAACCTCGAGCAGCTCTCCCTCGACCCGGCGAGCCGCATGGAGCAGGACATGGGCATCCCGCTCCCGGAGCTATGCGGAGCCGAGGCGCGCGCCGCTGCTCCTCGTGGGGACGGATGGGGACCCGCTGCCAGCTCAGGAGACCGACGCGTCCAGCGGGAGGGGCCAAGGGAGGGGGACAGAAGCGGTGGGATGGCATCGAGAAGGGTGCGAGCCCGATTCGTTGGCCCACTGGTGGTGCAGTATCCAGCCATCCCATGTCCGTGCCCGGTGCCAGAAATGCCAGCTCGCCTTCGCGCATGTCGACGTCCGGATCAACAGTGCGCGGGCGCGCGTGCACCCTCGGTATTGGCATGTTGCGTGTTTGACCTCTCCCCTGGGGACTGCGGACGACATCGCGGGGCTGCGGGACCTCACGGTGGAGCAGCAGCGGGTCGTCGCCCCGTTCCTGGACACGTTTGCCCCCGCCGGTGCCCCGCCCGCTCCCGCAGACAGGGTATCGGTACCGATTCCCGGGGCGGCCGCAGCGACTGCGGACACCGCGGATGATTCAGAAGAGCACGCGAGTCCGGCCGGCCTGCAGCAGCTGCGGAACCTCGAGTGGTGGAGCGGGTCGCCAGTGGAGGCCCTGGGTTGCCTGTACACCTCTACCGAGGCACTCATCCTGAGCCAGGCGGCCACTCTCCAAGACGGGCCCGGCTCCCTGAAGATGGCCGTCGGGGAAGCGCGGGAGGCCTCCGCCCAGGCCGTGCTCGACGCCACCACCGATGAGGGGAAGCTGGGCGCCTGGAGGTGCGTCCTCGCCTTCGATCGAAGGATCTTCTGGGAGCTGTTCGGGGAGGGCGATGTATTCAGTCTGCTTCTGCAGCGTGGGGGCCTGGCCGGTGGGCTGCAGCCGTGCGCGGCGTGCCCTCGGCGCGCCCCGCCGCCCTCGGCGCGGGGAGGCCGGCGGAGGGCAGGCGGGAGCAGAGCGGCGGCGGCTCGGCCGGGGAAAGGTCGCGGCGGATCGGCGGGGCGGCGGAAGCAAACGCGTTTGGGCGTGCGTGCTTATCGCGAGTCCTTCTGATACGGGTCGACTGTGCCCCCCTCCGCGCGCCGCCAGAGGAGTGCTGCTCTCTCCTCTCTCCTCGTCTTCGGTGCGGGGCGAGGCGGGGTGCCGACTCTCTTCTGCACACGCGGCTTCCGTGCCTTGCCATGTGAGGCGCTCCAGGAAAGGGCTCGCCTTCGAGGATCGAGTGAGCTGGCATGTCTTCCTTCGGTTGCAAATCATGGGAGCCTGGTGTACCTCTTTATTTCGTCTTTATTGTAGATTGGGGTATGGGAATCAATGAGATAGCGTCGATTTAGCGTCGGTTAGCGTCGATTGAGCGTTGACTAGCGTCGACTCGCGTCGATTAGCGCCGATTCGCAAGAGCCGACATGATGGGCTGTGAGGCTCCCGTGAATTGCCACCGAACATGCGATTTTTTGGGGTTCTCCAGTGGGCCCTGCCATTGGCCGTCCACGAAACTTCCATAGGCCGACGAGGGAGTAGTGATGTAAAAGGGAGCAGATGCGAGACGCCAGCACTTTCGGAACCAGGGTCTCTAGAGGCGGCCATGCGTGCGTCGGCCCCGCGGCTGCGGCGCGCACGCCTGGAACATCTTGCAGTATAATTTCCGCCGTAGGAGCTTTCTGGCCACGCCGCGTGGATACCAGTACTTGCCAGAGCATGCTTGTACTGCATGCTCTGGTCGGACGTGCGCCTCCACGGGTTTCGGTGCTTGCGTGGTGGGCGCTACTTCAATGCCGGCATGAGGTATTCGGCCCAGACGCAGGGTTGTCCGACATCCAGCAGTACCCTCACAGCATTGAAGAATGCGTTTTCTGACAGGTGCGAACGCCTCGATTTTGAACAGCGTTTCAATTTGTTTTTGACGAGGTTTGTGGTATGGCCTTGGACGTCCCATGAAGTTCACCGGCTGCTGAGCGCTGTCCTTCCGCGTCCCTCCACTCTGTGTTAATTGCGTCTGACCGCTGCGCAGCTCTCCCGAGCCAAGTAAAATGAACCCAGCGCGACCCCAGTGAGGGCAACGCTTCCCAAGCGGCGTCGCTTAGACCTGCTTGGGATTGCACTGTTCTGCACTGCAGTGTATTGCATTGCTTGGAATTGCTTTGCGTTGCTTGGTACTGCCTGGCATTGCTTGACAATGCTTGGAATTACTTGCCATTGCTTGGCATTTCTTTGCGCTGCTTGTTGCTTGGCGTTGCTTGGCATTGCTTGGCGCTGCTTGGCATTGCTTGGCGCTGCTTGCCGTTGCGTGGCATTACTTAGCGTTGCTTTGCATTGCTTGGCTTTGCTTCGCATTGCTTGGCGTTGCTTGGCGTCGCGTGGCATTGCTTGGCGTTGCTTTGCACGGTTTGCCATTTCTTAGCGTTGCTTGGCATTGTTCGATATTACTTGGCATTGCTTGGCATTGCCTGGCGTTGCTTGGCGTTGCTTGGCGTTGCTCGGCGTTGCTCGGCGTTGCTCGGCGTTGCTTTGCACTGCTTTGATCTGCTTGGCGTTGCTTGGCGTTGCTTGACGTTACCTGGCGCTGCCTGCCCCTGCTGGGAAACAAGACCAACATCCAGGGCGGGGATCCCGAGGAACCCGGGGAACCCGAGGAACCTCCGAGTAACTTTTTTGATTCGCGGGTCGAGAGCGCACCTTTTCCGGTCGAAGCTAAGCGGGCCGCGCACAGGTTGAAATCTCCGAGGAACAGGCAGAGTACGAAGACGAGGCATCGGGGCGGGCCTCCAAGGAACGGGCACAGTGAGGACACGAGGCACCTGCGGCGGGGAGCCCGAGGCGCCCGGGGGACCCGAGGAACCTCCGGGGAACGGGCAGCGCAAGCACGCGAGGCACCAGCCTGTTCACAAGCAGGATCTCCTGAGGCAAGCCTAAGTGGGGAAGATGGGCGTGGATGCGGTCCACACCGCCAAGCGTCGCGGAGTTGCCGCGAGCCGCAGGAGTTCGTCGATCTCGGAGTTACCGGGGACGGCCTGGAGGACGACGACGCGGGGGACGAGACCATGACCGATGCGGAGCTGGCCCGTGCAGGCGCGCCATGCCTCTCGCTCCCTTCCTCCCCCCCCCCGCCCCCCCTCCCTTCTCTGAAGGGGGGGAGGAGAGGGGAGGGGCGTGATGATGATGATGGTGATGATGACGATGATGATGCTGATGCTGATGCTGCTGATGATGATGTTGACGATGATGATGCTGATGATGATGCTGATGATGATGATGGTGGTGGTCGTGGTGGTGGTGGTCGTGATGGTGGTGGTGGTAATTATTGTGGTGGTAGTGGTTGTCGCAGTGGCGATGATGATGCTGATGCTGATGCTGATGCTGATGCTCATGATGATGATGCTGATGACTATGAGGGTTATGACCATGACGGGGATGATGATGATGATGATGATGATGATGATGATGATGATGATGATGATGATGGTGATGGTGATGGTGATGGTAATGACGATGATGTTGGTGATGATGATTATGCTGATGCTGCTGTTTTGGTCGTCGTCGTCGTTGTCGTCGTTGTCGTTGTTGTTGCTGCTGCTGTTGCTGGTGAGTTCTCATTTCTAGATAATAGTTTCTGTTGATTCTCTCTTCTGGTAACCATTGTATTTTTCAATCAAAGTGCTTCTTCTGGGGCTCGCATCCGGTTTTTGATCAGGGAACGTGTGGGGTCACCAAACTGTGCCCCTTGCCCCGGGTTTACAACAACAGCGTCTCCCGCCTGCTATCTCCTCACAATTTATTCCCAAATCGCATTCTCGCGCGGAACTTTCTCACAATTTGTATACCAATTGCACTCTTGTTTGGCACTTCCTTGCAATTTTTTCAGACGCTGCGCCCTCGACACTCAGGAATCGAGATATCGCTCGAGATCTCGTCAGCAACCCGCCTGCACTATGCCCCTTCTTTCCATCCGTCCTCTCTTCCCCTGCCTTAGGGGCTGCACGAAATACACGTTGCAGGACAGAAAGATCAGAGTGAGGGGGCCGAACGATCATTCACTGTCCCTGGGTGCGTGGCTGAAGTGGGATTCCGCGATGCGGATGTTTGTTGAATTCTCACTCACCACTCACTAGTGAAGAGTAATTGTTATTGACCCCCCCCTGCGGTGACACTTGTATTTTTTCAGTTGAAGTGCTTCGCCCGAGGCTCGCACCTGTTTTTTATCAGGGAAAGTCACGGGGCGCAGACTGGATTGTTTACCCCCGGTTTACAACATCGGCTTCCGCCTGATATTTCCTCACAATGTATTCCCAAATCGCGCTCTCGCGCGAGACTTCCTCACAATTTGTATACGAATCGCGCTCTCGCGTGGGACTTCTCGCAATATATTCAGACAGTGTGCCCTAGGCGCTCAGGAATCACTCTGTCGCTTTGTTTTTTCTCATGATTTAAGTGGGAATCGCGCTATCGCTCGAGACTTCCTCGTGATCCATGCAGGACCCACGCTTCAGCAACCCGCCTGCTCGACTTGGTCGCCTGGGCCCGCCTCTCCGACCTGCCCGCTATGGGTCTGCCCACCCGATCTGCCCGTCTGGTTCTACCACTTGTTTTCTGCTCCTTGCCCCCCTCATGCTAATTTCTTTCTCCCACCCCTTCCACCCGTCCTCTCTTCCCTTGTTTTGGAGGCTGCACTAGATGCGCGTGGCAGGTAAGGAAGATAGACCCCCAAGAGTGTACGATCGAAGACGACGAGGGCGGGTACCGAGGGCTTGGGATATACGTACTTATTGGCACGCGAGCAGATAGGAGCGAACAACCTTAAACTGATTGTTGTTGTTGCTGTTGTTGTTGTTGCTGTTGTTTTGTTGTTGTTGTGGTTGTGGTTTTTGTTGTTGTTGTTGTTGTTGTTGTTGTTGTTGACGAAACCACTAGCTGGCGCCCGCTTCCCCCCCCCCCGGCGCAACGCAACGCAATGCAGCGCACCCTACCCCGCGCTTTGAGGCCGCATGGGAGTCCTATGGGGCTCTCTTGGGCCGTATAGGATCCGATGGCATTCGTACAGGAGTCCTATAGGACCCGATGGGATTCGTAGAGGAGTCCTATAGGATCCGATGGGATTCATAAAGGAGTCCTATCGGATCCTATGGGATTCGTATAAGAGTCATCTATTCCGATGGGATTCGTACAGGAGTCCTATAGGATCTGACAGGATTCGTACAGGAGCCCCATAGGATCGGATGGAATTCGTATACGAGTCCTATAGGTTCCGATGGGATTTTGATAGGAGTCCTATAGGATCCCGTGGGACTCGTATAGAAGCCTTATTGGATCCGACGCGATTTTATGAGAGTCCTATCGGATATCATGGGGTTCGTATCGGAGTCGTATAGGATCCTACGGGAATCGTATAGGAGTCCTATAGGACCCGATGGGATCCGTATAGGAGTCCTATAGGATTCGATGGGATTCGTACAGGAGTCCTGTAGGATCCTACTGGGTTCGTACAGGAGTCTTATAGGACCCGATGGGACTCGCATAGGAATCCTATAGGATCCCGTGGGATTCTTAGGGACATTTTATAGGATCCCATGGCATTTCCATAGGAGCTTTACAGGATTCGATGGGAATCGCAGAGGAGTTCTATAGGATCTTTTGGGGTTCGTGTAGGAGTCAGAAAAAATGATCCGATTGTATTCGTGTAGGAATCCTATAGGATCCCATGGGACCCGTATAGGAGTCAACCCTACAGGATCCGATGGGATTCGTATGGGGGGTCCCATAGGACCCGATGGGATCCGTACAGGAGTCCTATAGGATCCGATGGGATCGTATGGGAGTCTTACAGGATCTCACGGGATTCGTATACGAGTCCTATTGGATCCGATGGGATCCATATAGGAGTTGTATAGGATCCTACGGGATTCGTACAGGAGTCCTACAGGATCCGATGGGATTCGTACAGGAGTGCCCATCGGATCTGTTGGGATTCGTATACGGTTCCTATAGGTTTCGATGGGGTTTGAACAGGACTCCTATAGTATCCGGTGGGATTCGTACAGGGGTCGTGTCGGATTCGATGGGATTCGTACACGAGCCTCATAGGATCGGACGGAATTCGTATAGGCGTCCTTTAGTTTCCGATGGGATTTCAATAGGAGTCCTATAGGGTCCTATGGGGTCCATTTACTTACGAGTCCCATAGGATCCGGTGGGATCCGTATAGGAATCCTGTAGGATCTGATGGGATTCGCATAGGAATCCTATAGGATCCTGTGGTATTCGTATGGAAGTCCTATAGGATCCCATGGGATATGCATAGGAGCCCTACAGGATTCGATGGGAGTCGCAGAGGAGTTCTATAGGATCTTTTGGGGTTTGTGTAGGAGTCAGAAAAAGGATCCGATTGGATTCGTGTAGGAATCCTATAGGATCCCATGGGCTCCGTATAGGAGTCAGCCCTACAGGATCCGATGGGATTCGTATGGGAGTCGTATAGGACCCGATTGGATCCGTATAGGAGTCCTATAGGATCCGATGGGATCGGGATCGTATGGGAGTCCTACAGGATTTTATGGGATTCGTATAGAAGTCCTACAGGATCCGGTGGGATCCATATAGAAGTCTTATAGGATCCTACGGGATTCGTTCAGGAGTGCTCTAGGATCCGATGGGATTTGTACAGGAGTCCCATAGGATCGGTTGGGGCTCGTGTGCGGGTCCTATAGGTTTCGATTGGGTTTGAACCGGAGTTTTATAGAATGTCGTGGGATTCGTACAGGGGTCGTGTCGGATCCGATAGGATTCGTACACGAGTCCCATAGGATCGGATGGAATTCGTATAGGCGTCCTATAGGTCCCGATGGGATTTTAATTGGAATCCCATTGGATTCTATGGGTCCGTATACGAGTCCCATAGGATCCGATGGGATGCGTATATGAGTCCTGTAGGCTATATTGGGTCTCGCATAGGAATCCTATAGGATTCTGTGGGATTCGTATGGACGTCCTACAGGATCATCCCATGAGATTTGTACAGGAGTCCTTTGGGATCCGATGGGATTCAACGAATCATATAGGAATGCTTTCTGTCTCCAGCGACTCCCATAGGAATCCTTTTAGGAATCCGATCGGAATCTTGTAAGGCTCCAAGGAATCCCATCGGAATCTTACGGGGCTTGCGCGAATCGCATTGGACTCCCGTAGGAGTTCTATACGGCTTCAGCGAATCCTATAGTAACCCTGTGGGAACCTGACATGGCTTCAACGAACCATATGGGGATCCTATAGGAATCCTGTACGCCTACAGCGACAAATATAGGAATCCCACCGGAATCTTAAATAGCATCAGCGAGCCCTGTTGAAATCCTACAGGCGTCCCAGAGGAACCCCAGCGGAACCCCATAGGGCTTCAAGGAATCCTATAAGATGTTTATCGGGCTCCAGCGAATCCTAGAATAATCCGGTAGGGTTTCATATCGGAGTTCGAACCCTGTAAACATCATATTGGCACCCTATAGGGCTTCAGCGGTTCCGATAGGAATTCGGCAGGAATCCGGTAGAAATCTTGTAGGTCTTCAACGAACCCGAAAGGAATCCTATAGGGGTTCAAGGAAACCTATAGAAATCCTTTGGTGTAGAGATCTTGCAGGAATCTAGCAGGGCTTCAGTGGATCCGATCGGAATCCTATAGGGACCCCACAGGGCCTCAACGAATCATGTAGGAACTTTGCTAAGGCCCCGCTGCGCCCTATAGGCCTCCGCTACGCCATCACAGCATTCGTAATCATCCTCATCATCATCATCATCACGGCCATCATCGTCATCGCCATCACCACCACCGTCGTCATTTGGCCATCAGCATCACCACCATCATCGCCGATAGTTTGGGCTGTATAGGAATGCTTTGCATTGCAAGATTTGTTGCTTTTGTGTAGCATCATTACTCCTACTCGTACTACTTCTACTCTTACTACTACTACTATTACTACTACTATTACGGCGACGACTACTACTATTACGACTACTACTACTGCGACCACTACTACTACTACGACTACTACTACTACTACTACTACTACTACTACTACTACCTC